CAGTACGTCATACTTGCTACCTTGTATTATTCTATGGCAAAAATGGCTGCCATCCTTGCTGACGCTTCATTTTCACCAAGCCTTCCTGCGATCACCATGCAGGCTCTCGAGGAAGGAGCTTCTCAGGTATGCGATTTTGTACGCGCCCTTCCGCTGCTTCACTTTGATTGGATATTGTCACTTAGAGATATTATGGATGCTCCCCCGCCCCCCCCCCCCCCCCCCCGGACTGCATTTTCACCATTCCGAGAAGAACCGCCCCAATCTTAGAAAGGTGGGCAGTAACGGTAGTGCTTTTCCTTCTAATCTGCCTCAATACTTGGCAAACCCGAAACCAGCTGCAGCTCGAAAAGGAGCATATCAGCGTGAAATATTTTGAACTTTATCGTTCACGATTTAGAAAGAAATCTAAATTCCTACCTTTTCCGTATTCAGATGGTTCATTTCGGCTAGAACCGCATAACTCGTCGAATCAACGCGTCGCTTTATTCGTTCAGCGTCGGCATGTGACAGTTTACACTCGTTCTCCCTATATTTCTGGATCGCTTGCTGAAATGAATAAATATCATAACCCCCTCCTTGACCTCCTTCTTCTTGATATTGAGATCGACATATATCGCAAAAGCCAAAATATTACACAAATACATAATACATAATGTTATTGCATCGTCTAATTTTTTTCACCAAATACGCCTAAAATTTGAAAAAAAGCAAAAATTTTTGGGAACAAAAGTGTCATAAAATTTGAAAATAAAAGTTCTGAAAAATTAGGGAATCAATTTGAAAGTATTAAAAAATTTAATCGAGATTGGGAAGCATAGTGCATAGTGATCTCTGAATGTTACCTTATGTACATGTAAAATATCAGGAGCAGTCTGGATGGTGCCTTTGAAAGAGTACAAGCTCTCCGCGACCGGCTCCATGTCGTTTCGTGAATGCATCTCAAAGTCGTCGTTCCACCATACGATTAGCTTCCTGAATATGATCGATTGATTGAGAAAATTCAAAATATAAGGAACCATCACGTGCCCAGTCATTGCATGACTTAAAAAAGCTAACACATTTGGACTTGTGATTGGATGACGTGAAAAAAATATTCTAGAGCCCTCAGCGACGACCCAATTTTTGCAATGGCAGTTAAAGACAAGGGTGACGGATAAATGCAGTCTGAAAGAAGCAGAAAGAGGCTAGTGATGTTCTGGCACCCAACCGACACTTGCGCACTTGAGCAAAAGACGCCATCATCTGGGCGCCAGGGATTTCGTATTTCCACTGGAGGTCTATGCTCCTTCTACTCGCCACGCGATTGTGCTACGCCAAATGCTGAATCCCCGCTGTCGGACTACAGCTTATAGCAGATAGGCTGAGCAGAAGTTGAATCATGTATCGTTGAGGATTGCTATACCGAAAGAGAGTGAAGTCAGTATCGATGAGGCTTGCCTAACGCGGAAAAGGTTAACGTTACGTTTTGCGAGTCTGGACTGTTTCCCTTGATTTCTTCTTCACAGCTGTACCTCTTAGCAGCCCTACTTTCATTCCTAGCGTGCGATCAGCTCATCGTACCACCTGCCTCTAATGTGCATCCCACAAGGTCACTACTTGAAGTAAAGGAACCCAGACGAGATTCAGAACTTGGCCTGTTTCAAGGAAAAATACTGTTCTATTGCCATCCCTGTAGCCTTCCTGTACCAATTGACGACCTTCAAATTAATTTCGCCCCAAGTCTTTCACAGAAGGGCATGAGCGCAGCTCCTTGGTCATTCTTCACATTGACAACTTGAAATCCACTCACCTGGGTGATCATCGGTGTTAAACGATTGGGCCAAAGTGACAAACGCCAGTGCCATCTTTTGCCAATTGGCTTTCACAGCTGAAAGACATCTTTTAATAGGGCGAAGGGTCAGGAACTTACTCTACCAATCTAACAAGGGAGGTCTTTCAGGGCAAGCCACGCTTTTTCAAAACGGTTTCTTGCATATTGTAGGGACGCATGTAGGGAACACAAAACCATGTTTCATTTTCGCTGAACGGTTTAGCAGTACCAAAAAAGAAGCATAAGGTACTGTTAATGGTTCGATCCCCCGTGGCGACTAAATTTTGCATTTGGGTTGGCGCCTACGGTTGGTGCCAAATCGCGCTAAATGTCAAAATCAGATGTCAAATTCATCGTCAGGACCATTTTGAAGCCAACAAGTGGCCGCCAACCTTGATTGCAAAATTTAGTCGCCGCGGGGATCGAACCATCAAGGGTATCATTCACCACTTTTTTGGTACTACTAAAACCGTTCAGCGAAAACGAAACATGGTTTTGTGGTCCATACATGCGTCCCTACAATATGCAAGAAACCGTTTCCAAAAAGCGCGGCTTGCCCTGAAAGACCTCCCTTGTAAGCTCAGTGCTGAACTGTAATAAACGTACGTCTAACGAAGAGCTTTTGGAAAACGCTTAATCGCTCCTGCAT